CGTGACTTCGGGACTAGCACCCTCGAAAATCAATTTTTCAGCAGCCCCCTGATTTTTGAATTAAACACCAAAAACATGCAAATTTTATGCCAGCGTTGCACTTAGTAAGTTACAGTATGGCTGTGTCACTTTCTGGGAGTAATTTGCGCCGGCCTGCACACAGATTACCAAGGCCCATTATTAACCCGCTTGGGTAGCATCAGGGTAAAACGTTCATTTCTCATCAAACTGAAAGCTTCGGTGTTTTATTTGTGTGCGTTATTCTCCAGATCCCAAAAAACAGAACTGTAAATTTATCATACATTGAAACTTTGCCAAAATGATGCGCCTCCATGAAGTGCATTTATCACAGATCACTTATCGTGACATTTTAATAGTAGTCCCTGAAGTGCTACATCTCACGGGAGAACCGAGTCCAGACTATAATCGCGAAGGTTTAGGAGCAATAACTGTTTTATTTTGGGTTCATACTTTTGAGCTGATTCCATAACAGACACGGGGTAGTTAAGTGGTTATACAGGATATCCTTTAAATGTGATGATGGTCAGTTTATGGTTATGTTCTGATGTATTAAATGTTCCCCACTGTTTTCCTGTTGATACTAAACCTCATTTGGTTATTTATATTAAGCTGATAGATCAACTTGACCCAATTGTGTAACTTTATTGATCGTAGCCAAGCCACCTATCTGTATTCCTTACTGCACGTAAGGTCAATAAACCTCAAAATCAATATTTATAACAATCAATGTTGCATTCTCTATGATGCCTCTTCCTGTGCAATGATTTCCTGCGATTGAACTGCTTTATTTGTGTTTTTCGGAGGCGCCCCTCTGCCGCTTCTTGTCCGTTTCGGTGACGCCTGCTCGTGTTTCTGTGTGTCCCTGCAGGAAACACGTTGTGTAAGTCAGGAAGCATTGCTGTCTTCGGGAACGTGGTGTACAGCGGACTGCTGAACGATCACCTCTGGCATTTGGGAGTGCCCCTCTTTACAAGACTGGTAAGAGCAGCAGGCCCCTCTGTGCACACTTACCTTCATTTTTGTTGGAAGAATTTCACGCGCTTGTGTGGAATCTAACAGGTGTGGAATTCCCCGAAGCTTGTAATGTTGTTTTTGATGCCCGCTCTGTTGACATGTGTTAGTTAAGGTTAAGACCTGGATGTGAGTCCTCTGCTGTGGATGTAGGAGACGAGGAAAACCCACCACACACACACACACAAACACACATACACTTCATATTAGACTTTTTAAAAAGCATAACAAAGATGTTTTCTCTGGCCTTAAAGTGCAGGTGAGCCCACCTATGGATTCAGTTCTTCCCCAGCTTGCTGGCTGGGTGTGTAGCTTAGTAGTGCTGAAAAAAGGCTGGCTAAATAATTCATGAAATTTAGTTTTACAGCAAGAATTTTATAAAAATTACAAGGTTTTAATTAAGAAGCGGAGCGGCTGAAGCTTGCATTAAGAATTCATGATAAATGTCTATCCCTAATTGTCAAAGCGAATGTTTGTTTTACACTTAATCTCGCTGATGGTGCAACGTGAGCTTAGCAGATTCTTGTGAACGGCATAAACGATATTCCAAAAGATGGAAATCCAACGAAGCCCTTTTCCTTCTCGTTAATTACCCTCTTTCTAAGCAGGTCGCAAGTTTTCATCAATGTTTATTATTGATTAAATCTGTCGTTGTTGCTGTCATTTATGAGTCAGGAATTAGCGTTGATTGGTGCACAAGGGTTGCATATAATTGGGTTACATTAAATAGATAATTCAGCTGATCTCATAAATGTCTAATGTGAAGCCTTGTTTGATTATCAATTAATGTCAAACGGAGATGCGAGAGGCTGTTAGGAATCCTGTCGGGTTTGCTCGTGTTGCATGTGGCAAAGCTACTCTCGTTGCAGCTGCAAGAAGAGCCAGGAGTTTTTACAGTGAAATGTATATTTAATATTGTACGCGCTGGCGAATTCAAAGTAACGCCGGAGCACGCGTGCACGGCGAACGCTGGTAAACAAGTCTTTAAAAGATGTAACAAAAAGAAGGACATCAAACGCCACAGGTAACAGAGCTTTGGCTTCTAATTAAACAGAAATTGTTTTTTTTGAGGAAAATGTGCCTGTTGTTCTTGGCTATAAAGAGTAGAAGGAGGGAAATGATTAAAATATTTCATGGCTCAAAAGTCACTTCATGGTGCCTTTTTCAAAGCCGAGAGTTTAATGGAGTAGGATGCTTAATTACTAGCATATTTACATTTTCTCCGACAAATCCTCCCACGAAGAGAAAGCTGATGGAAAATAACCACTGTGTGACTCTGAGGAGAGTTTACCCCATGACATTGTGAATATATGGTAAAATACATAAAAGATGGAGACAGCCACCATAGCGTCCAGGTTGGTTTGGTGTATTTTGAAGCTCGAGGGCAAGCACCCATGCAGACTATCCAAGTATTTCACTTTTTGTTGGTATTTGCAAGACAGATGTGATGTAAAGGAATTACTGTGTTGCATTATGTAAATGTTAACGCAACATACAGCTGCTTCTAAACCAGCCTCCATATTAATATCTATGATGTTTACTGTTACAAGCTGAAACACATGCTTCAATAATCCACAACACATTTAGGCAAAATCACGTGAAAACAAACAATAACAGGTGCAAGTATGTAACACGAATGAGGTGACGCGCACAAATGTTTAAAGTAAGCATTTAATAATATATTATAATATAATATGTACGTATAACAGACATAATGTGGCATCCGTGCAGCTTATTGATGTCACAATGCAAACAGGCCTGGAGGATTAACACAAACAGACCACACACGGCGCGCTCGCAGTGTGAAGACACCTAATCCCTGCTGTCATTAGGTTAACATCCTCCGCGTCCCTCCTTTGCCCGCCGAGCAGCGGCTCGTCCAAGTAAAAGGTTCGACTCCCGGCTGCGTCGCGAAGGTGCGGCCTTGTGTAGCGCTCAGCGTGCCCGCTGCTGACACACTAGGTCCGCCCAGCAGTGGTATCAGCACGACACGCGGCAAGCCTTCACATCCCCAACACACAGCTCCTAATTACTGCACAGCCCTGCCAGTTTGTACCCCTAGGCCAGTACTGACTGCTCAATGCCAAGATGTAAACACTGCATTATTAACACGACATACAGTCTGTGCACACGGCTAGGTTTAATGTACTCGACGTATGTCTACATGGAGGCATTACTTTAGTGGGATTCTTTATGCGAAAGCATACAATGAATTTATTGTCTTGCAGACAGCGAGTTCCAAAATCACCAGATGGGCGATTTGCTGCGTATAGGGTAATGTATGCTTACAAATGATGTTTAATGATATCTTCCAGGGATAGGAAGCAAAACATTACCATTTTCAAGGCTAAATATGCAGGCTGTGTCAGAAAGCTGGAGATACAGAATTAAGTAACACACTGTCTTTTTTTTCTTGTTATTTTATGCATATTTATTGGCTGCCAGAGCGTCTTGATGGCATTACACAATATCTGGTTTTTTTCTTTATGGTAAATCACAGTCCAAACATAAGCTTTGCCTACTTATCACCGATTCTAATATATTTTCATATGAAAAATCTCTCATGTGAGTATTATTAGCAGAGTGCTCTGCCCCTGCAAGTGCCGCAACTTCCTGTCAGCGCGAGAATAATAAGGGAATGGAAATGTAATATGAAACTTTTTCAGCACACAGAGATAAAGAGGAGAAAGGGCTTCGTTTAGCCGCTTGTTTCTGCCTGCGCGGCCTTCCCCGGCGCCCTTTCCTCACGTGACGTGCGCTGTATAGAAATGTCAATACCTACCTGTGGAGCTGATGGAGACCCATAAATCGATAAAACGAGCATAGCTGCGGATCCTTGGCCACCAAGTTGTAAAACTGGTCACTCCATAAAGTGAAGTGTGTGATTAGAGAAAACCAGCCTGGCAGCATCAGAGCGGAGCCGCCGTCTTCCTTCGGGGCTCGCACCAGCTCGGGCCGAGCGTTTCGGGCGAGCCGGTCGCAACGATAGCCCAGAACCCCGTGGGGAGCTCGCAGGGATGAGAGTGAGAACTCTCATTGTCTCCTCCGGTGTCTTTCTAACGACAAGATCCGAGCGTGTCTCGACAGAAGACGCTCTGTAAGTAGCGGCGCTACGGACGAGAGGTGAGATCGGCATAAAATATTAAGACGGCAGATCTCGAGCCGGCGACGGTCGGAGACAGACGGACATTTTAGGCAAGAACACTCTGTGTGTGAGGCCTTCACTTCCTCTTCGGTTTGAAAGCTCCATCTTTATAATGGATGGCAGAGTCTCTGGGGAGTGTCTAGACTATGGTGGGAAATCTAAATGGTTGGGAAAGCCACTCCAATGCTCTGTAAGTAGTGTGGAGTATGGGAAAAATGCAACTCAGAGAGGTGACAGGAAGAAGGGAAAAGCATCCCAAACAACACCGCGTTTACCTGCATTGCACTTCCTTTAACGGGCGTAGATTCCTAGACAGGAGATGCAGACTTTACGTAATGCTTAAATGCCCTCTGATTCTTTCCTCCCCAACCCTAAGTGGCCTTAGCTCCAGACCGCGCTCTCTGTCTGCACCTACACCCACCCCCACCCGCTCTCCAGCCCGTCCTGCTTTTTCTTTTTTTTTTGCCTCCAAACTCGTTCTTTTCCTCCTTCTCTCCCCCCTCAGTTATTTATGAGCACGACTTGAAATAGACTTCAGTATTTGATAAAAGCGTGATCCTTAATCTGAGTTGCCTGAGAAGTGCATTTCATTTTTATTTCCCATCAGAGATTGATGGAGGACCGGGGCGGTTATCCACTCTGTGATTGCTAATGTAAATCCATTGACTTCTGGTGGACATATATAAAGATATGGAAGCCTTGCATGTGCATCCCGTGCTACCAGCGGGGAGATTGCATGTGTGCAAAGCAAAGGAGATGCTGGATTGTGCGATGTGACGGAGGGGGGGCGGTGTAAGAATTATATGGTGCGTGTCTTGATTTATGAAAAGCTTCTTAAAACATCACAATATTTGCAAAGTTACTAATTGCGGTTCTTTGCCTGCGTGCCATTTCATATTTCACCGCTCACTTGTGCTTTTTCTGAAGGAGGAGGAAAAAAAATAAAACGGGTGATAAATTTAAGATGACAGTTACACCATATGAACGAGGCCCCTTGTGTATCAATTCGCTCAAAGCCAGCTGCAAATCTAACTCGGGCTCCTTATGTGGCAATTACTGATGGGTAACATAACCTGCATATATCTGTTCTGTTCATTAGGCCAATGTGCTCTATAGCTGGCAAATGTTCTTTAGGATCCTACAGCAAATTAGCTCATCCCGCAGGACGTCTTTTATTGGATGATCCGGCTCCAGAGGATGCCGCAAAACCACTTGAGCTCTCCGCAGCCTGCCCCGGTTGCCACAGGGTTAATATTTAAAAGCGCGAGCTCCCAGTCGTGTATTGATGATATGTTTTGAAAATTGCTGAGGCAGGCTCATTGTTACAGTGCTGTCTAGAAGATAGCCAATCCTCCTCCCCCTCCCCTCCCTCTCTCTCCCTCGTTCCCCTCCCCCTTTATAGCCGCCAGATGGAAAACACACTAAAGCATGTAATGTAATATAGCTTGGCACACACAGAGGTATTTCACACCAACTTCATCTGGCCTCTGATCTGCCACAACGCCACCTGAAAAAAATTTTTTTCACCGAAACAAAAAGGTCACCGAATCGCGAGTTCGGAGGAAAAGAGGGAAAATAAAAGGCAGAGAAGCTATCGGCAGCTAAAAGTAGAAAACAAGTGGAAAATAGGCTGCGCCTCCCAATTGCCTGTGGCATATTTTAAGGTTTTGTCTGAGAGTCTTTTTTTCCTTCAGCATCGCCTCCTTCTTCTTCTCTTCAATGAACTAAAACTGCCACAACTTCAATGCAACTCATCGCAGTCGCAGACGGTGAAAAGAAGAAAGGGGAGCGATCTGTTAGTCCTCCACTATCACCAGCATCA